TTGTGATGTAGCTAACCATTATGGAAACATTATGAACAACTCAGTGGTGTTTGAATGATTCATCTTATTTCATTTAGCTGAATGCATGTGTGGAAAAAAATCTATTCTATTAATGTGTGTATGTGTTCAAATGCGTGTATACAGACCTTGTGCTTAAGCCTCTAGCCCAGTAATTGAAAATTGAATAGAACAGTGAAGTTGTGGGCTCATGGCTCATGGCCTAATTTGGCAGATGGCTCACTGAATCTCTTCATGGAACCATTCCCTCAAGTGTGTGTGAGTGTGTGTGTGTGTATGTGTGTGTGTGTATTTCTGCTTGTGTAACTCCTCAAAGCGTCCTTTTAACAACTCAAGTTTACATCCGGATCAGCACTGGAAGTTCGAAGCCAGATACAGGTGAGGGGTATTTTTGCATTGTGAAAACCAATTTAAGTTTAAGACCCTGTGAGGTCAGAATTAGGTTTAGATTTAGGGTTGGGGTTGGAAATGTTATTGTGATGGGGTTTTTTTTGGCATATTAAATTTTTAGTTTTTATAAATTTTTTAGTTTTGGCCATCATTTCTACTGGTTATTATTCTACTTGCTGAGATCTAGAACATCTTGATAACATGATGCTTTACATGGCAAGAAACATGAGCAATCAGATGATCAGACAGGTTGTGAACAAGATAACGCTTTAGATTATCTAAACATTTTATTTGGGTATGGTCCCTCATTGCACAGGACTTTGTGCGTGCACAACTAAAGCAAGTACAGTGGGTCAGAGTGGAACATCAATGTTGGTATGGAGTGTGAACTGATGTTGACAACAGAGATTTTGGGTTATAACATTTGCCTTAGTTTTCACTTTGAAATAAGATTTCTTTCCCCATCACATTACTTGTCATCTTTCTTGTCTTTTCCATATCTCTGCAAATAACTATTGATAGTACAATGTTATTTTTATTAATAGGAATGTTGACCAACACTGCAAAAATAACATCTAAGTTGTAATATACAAGAAATATTCCTTAAAGGTTAAGGTAAGGATTGAGATTGAGCATCTAGTTATGTTGGTAAATGTTGTAGGGGCTATGGAATACACTTTTTCAATGGCAATCCTCACAAGTATGCAATGAGAGAAACAGAGCAAGAGAGCGTTGTGTAATCTCTTGAGTAGTGCAACTGTCTTTCCAACCCCCCACCCAAACCATTTTAAGAGAAGAAGTTCTTTCATGTTTCTATACAACACAGCAAACGATGCCTGCGTGCATGTGGCGCTCTGTGTGTATATGTGTATATATGTGTGTTTGCGTACATGCACCTGTGCAGACAGCTGAATGCAGTTCACTGTAGCATGAAATGTATTTTTCACTCAATCTATTAATTAATTTCTACTCATGTAGTGCAAGTGCTGATGTTTCTCTGTGAATGGTGGGTTCACCATTGCCTCCCCAGATTTTCTCATCCTTTTATCTGTGTCTTTATTTAGGCAAACTTCTGCTGTCAGGAGCAGGTTGTGTGTGAGCGTCTCCCAGCGTGCCTCCCAGCAAATGCTCCACACTGACACGTGTCTGTATGTGTTAATCACAGATGTCTATTTCCTCCCCTCTCTGGCCTCCTCCAGACCTCCCATGGCTCTCTCCCTGTTTCCCTGCCCAGAGCGAGCACAGCACAGGTGACACAAGGCGGCATGACTAGCATGCCACACATCCATCAGACTGCGAGAAGCAGCAGGAGAGAGCAAACTGATCTAAATTTGGAGAGTTATTACTCAGTATAAGCAGACTGCTCAAAGTTATGCAAGAATCTGGAGACTTTTATATTTTATTATAAGTTTTGTTGTGATTACTTATTTCCTGGCTATGACATCTTTTAGAGGCTTCATTACAAACAATATTTTGATTAAGAGTTAAGGTAATTACATCTCTTACTTATCAACATGTATTTTATCTGTATGTTAATGTCTGATATACACTGTGTAATGACAAATCCTGGTCGAGTGGGAGTAATGTGGAGGGTAATATCTCCTCTTTGACATTTGCCCTCTACAATTCTGAACTTATCCACCTCGCTGCAGTTCCCTGCCTAAGGCCCTGTAGCTCTGTCTGATGTCCGCTCACGCAAGCACCACTGCACTCCACACACTTGCACAAACACGCACACACATTCAGATTTGCTGCAATTAGAGTCATATGGTGTGAGCTTATTTCCTCCCACGATTCTAACCAATAAGGTCATTTTATAGATGAAGAAAACAAATACTTCCATTTTTGCAAGTTGCCTGTTTCGAATGTACTCCGCAACCCTGTCTTTTCCTTGAACCAAACAGCAAGTGAATCTGTTTTATACTGTTGTATTCTAGCTGTATTCTGCATAGCTGTTTCTTCAGAATCCAAGCCTTTATTTCCCATATGTATGAGAAATGAAATGGGAATGCAAATTCATGGATGTTGTTTACATGGTGGAACAGAACGACAGTGTAATCAGAATTAAAGAACAATGAGTGACTGCAACACTTATATAAGTGTCTCTGTAAATAAAAAGTAAAACAGTATTTTTACATATTTGTGGTCCTCATTCTGCACAAACTTTTACACATTTGGCTGGTGTTTACTTACAAAGATGTTTGTTTGTCTTAGCTACATAATTGAATACCATTAATTTAGCAAGCACTGCCTCATAGCCAAGAAATGGTTTGATCTTTGTTTAAAGTGTGTCAGCTTTTTAGCCCTATTAGTAGTTTGTTCTTCTTTGGGGTGTGTGTAAAGCACTAGGGAGACGGCACTTTAAAGGTCACTAATGCACTCAGCCTGCTGAAAGGGGGAAAAAAGCATGTTGGATGTTTGTTTGTGCTTTTTTATCTCTCTTTACAGTGAGTTCTCTGGAGATGTGGTGCTACAACATGTGAGGATACCATGGTGTTTTCACTGTAAGGGAGGAGGAGACAGAGAAAGTGAGAAACATTTACCGCATTGCCTCCTGTCTGTTTCTGCCTGCAGCATGTAAGGGCCAACACAGAAAGACAAATTACGAAAAACAAAAGCACAAGGGGAATAGAGCGCAAGACAGCCGTTGTGGTGAGTTAAAGTTAGAGAAAGGAATAAGGGTCAGAGGTGTCTGAAGTTCTGTGAGTCAACTTTCATTCTGCTGTGGCCAGGAGTATGGTAATGCAGTGTTAAACAAGTGTATACAAGGCAGTGGAGTGGCAAGGTGGGGTCACAGTGTCACATAGTCCAAGGGTGGGCCTGCAGATAAGAGCCTGGGCGGCTCAGCTCGGCTGGCTGGCCCGTCTCCCCCGGCACAGGGAGTGACTGCAGAGTACACCTGGCCTGGCAGCTTCAGACCATCCAGGGACAACTGGGAAAAGCTTCCTCCTCGGCGGCAACCTAAACTGACAAAGGGAATCATGTGCGGTGGTAAGAGCAAACAGAGCAAGGTTGACAGTGTTAATGTGTGACTGCGCTATCATGCAGAGGTTTCTGTGTGTACATTTATGCTTGTGTGTGTGTGTGCTTATAGGAGAGGCTCTGGGGTGGCAGAAGGAGGCCGGTCTACTAACAGCTGTCTGATTTTCTAACCTTTGTGTTTGTCATACCAGGTTACAGGCAAAGCATGGTAAGGAGAAAAGAAAATAGGTGAAAAAAAGTGAGAGAAAAAGGTCAGGCTTGAACATAGAAAGAATAGCGCTGAAGTGCATGCAAGTTAGAATTGATGAGGTTATTGCTGTGGATTGAAATGTTTGTAAAACCTTAACTGGCTGCAAAAGTAGTCTTGAGCAAAGCCCCACCAATGTTTTCTGCCCACAGGGTGCTGCTGTGAAACCCTGATGAAGACATCACATTAATAATCCCCTTAGTGTAATTAGCATAACAAATGAGTGACCAGGATTTAGAGGATTTGGCAGCCCCTTTCATTCAACTTCATTGTCCCTTTATGTGAAATTTTCTTGAAACTTGCAGCAGCCATTAAGAATACAAAAAATGACAAGACATTCAAGTCAAAATATAAAATTTATAGAGATACACACAATAAAAGATAATCTGCCCTGGCTGCTGGTCTTTTGCTCAATGGCTGTATCCAAAATCACTCCTCTCTGTAGAATACATCGAACAGTTTATTCTATAGTGAGCATTAAATTTAGATTTAGGACATTATTAGTGTCAGGTGTCCAGTTGCACAAAGCAATTTTTGCTGCAAATATGTGGCACTTGCATTGTGCAGTTGTAGAAGTGTAAATGCTGTGGACACTTCTTTTTTTGTTCCATCATTGGAATTTTTTTACGGCACTATAATATAATGTATAAAATTTACACTCAAATAAAATGTACAGTAAATACACTGTATATAGCGCTATTAAATAAATAGGGAGTGATATTGGATAGCCTATGTCTTCTTGTCTGCAGGCTTAAGAGCACCCCATTAGTAGCATCAGACACACCTGGGCCCAATTCTTCCCAAAAGGATATGCAGGTGACGTAAGTAACCCAGAAGTCACCACATTTGCTCCTTTCTTGAGTGGCAAATATTAAAAATTCAACATCTGCCAGGTGCACTCTCAGGAAAAACATTGAAAACAGCTAAAATAGCTGCTGTTTCATCGGTCCACAGACAGATTTAAAAAGAATTTAGGCATAAGGTTTGATCGACTGCCGAAGCAAATGGATCACCCCAACTTAGTGGGACAATTCTGTCTTCCCATTACAGGAACTTGTCAGGTATGTTATGAGTGAAATATTCATTTGGTAGTACTCCAGCCTCTGTCTTGAGTGCCTCTGTCTTCAACTCTTCTTTGGCTTTTGAGTGTTCAACTTGTGGTGACATTTCAATGTTCGCAGACCACTGATCTGTCTGGTCGCCATCTGGATCATTATCAATTGTGGCAGCCATTGTGATTTTGTTTTGCCACACAGTGGTTGTAACTTATGTCAACTCGCAAACTTTGTGTAAGATTGGGTCAGCCTTCAGTTCAATAGAAATCTCTCTTTATACACTTATTTTTGGCACTGCTAAGACCACAGCACATTCTCAAATAGGCACACACTCAGTTGATTGACTCATTTGTTGCAACAACAAAAAAATCCAAATTGCTGCATTATTCTTTATTCTAAGAGCCAAGCTGTGACAATGCAAGACCCACTCCATGAGACAAGTTGCTCCCTTTTGCAAAGCGGATGTTTTTTGTTTTTTTGTCAAAAGATGAAGATAAACTGAAAAATCTATTTTCCTTTTTCTGTGTTTGCAAGAAGCTCTGACAACTTCAAATCCATTAGAGTAACCTGTTCCCACTTTGTGCCAGTTTGTGTAAACCAGAACATTTCAAACAAAATCTGACCTGGTGTCAAACACTAAAATGCAGCTGGTAGATGCTTCTTTTCATGGATGATCCTGTTTTTAGTAGCAATGTCTTCAAAATTACTGTGGAAACCATTTAGAGATATTAGTATCATAAGACTCAATCATTCTCATTCCCACCAGCTTGCATCAGCTTGTTATATGCTAGAGGGAAATGGATGAAATGATACAGAGAGGGGTGACTGGCTCCCTTAAGAGCAAAGTAGAACATAGCACCCAGTGTCACATTCCATTCCTGCCAAGTCTGAGGAATGTCCAGTCCTTGACACTTGTCCAATCCAAGCTATCTCAAGCTTTCTCCTCCAGCTTCACGCCGGCTAATCTCTCCTGACACCTCACACAGCCCTGACAGGGAATCACTCTACCCTGAAAACAATCCAGCCCTCTTCCCTCTCCACCCCAAATCGGCTCCAGCCCCTCTCTCCTTCTGTCTGTCTTCCTTATATTTCTCTTTATCCTCACCCTCCCTATCTATCTCTTCCCCATTACTTCTCTCTGTGGCCTATTCTTTTTCTCATGTCTCCATCTGTCTTTGTCAACCCAGATTCTTCTCCTCTTCTGTCTCTCTCAATCTTTCCTCCCCCTGTCTTTCATCCTCCGTCCACAATTCCTCATTGGGTATATCATGCCTCTGTTGATGAGAATCTGTGAAAAGATGCTTTGATTGCCGATTGAGGAATAGCCTGCATTTCCTTAAGGACTCATCAGCATTCAAGAACTGCATTTTACTCCACTGGTTGCTAAAGTTGGAGGGTCTTTATCTCTAAGTGCACATTTACAGATGGAGAGAAGCTCCACTGGATCAGTTTAGGATGGGACGGGGGAGAATAAACACAGACATCTTTCCCTTGATGCCCATCATCCTAAATATACTTTATTTTTTGGAAAAAGAAGAGAGATGAGGGACTTAGGATCCTTTATGTATGCACTGACAGGCCACTGATAAAATTCTTAGTTTAAACAAGAAACAAGAAACACATTTTCAGTCATGTTGTTTGCACTGTAGTCAGTCTCACAAAACAAATGAGATCCTTTACAGATCTTTCAGACAAATGAGATCCTTTACAGATTTTTCATTAATTAGCGTATGTGGGATATAAGAATTCTTGTGAGACAAGTCACTCAAAAAAATCCCATTTATTATTTAAATGTATTCAACAATTCCAAAAGATAAGATAGACAAACATGTCATAGATTTCATTTACAAGCTGTTTGTTCTCATCATATCTATAGAGGCTCCCCACCCTACACAGCACAATCTCATTGGCTGTTGAGTAGAATATCTGTCATTGGCTGTAGCACTGAATAACTCTGAAAAAGAACGATGTAGCTATGGCACGGCACATGCTAAAATGCAGACACTCACTGGTATGCACAGACACATACAGACTCACACGTACAAACGCGCACACAAATATGCGGTAATCATAGACCAAGTCGCTCACCCAATCAGTTTCATTCTCAAGCAAGCTGTCAGGCCGCCATGTTGAGTAAATATTACCATAATGCCTGTATGTCAGTGAATATGCAGCTAATGAATGGATGACATCCAGTGAAGCTCAGAGACACTGAAACACAAAATTTGCCCGCTCTCTGTTATTGTGCCTGAACGCCCCCTCCGCCTCCCCAGCATTTCACTCACTTCTGACTCTTTCTCTCTCCATCTTTGTGACTTTCCCTCCGTCTCCCTCCGCTTCAGAAGCCGCTTTTTAACCACGCGAAGGTTCGGAGGTCGGCACAGCAAAGAAGAAGAAAGAACGAGCACTCTTCAACTAGGTTACCTCTGAATCTGAAGATTCTGCTTTATCAAATGGCCAGTTGTGCAGAGTAGAGCATCTACATAAAACTTGAACATCGAAGAGACAATTTGAACTCTACTTTAAATCTGAACAGCAGCAGGACATTGTGTGTGTGCAAACAGTGTCAAGTTGTTTGTGGAAAAGGTATCGTCTATATGAGATGTTTCCTTTTTCAGATATATTGGAAGGTACAGTGCAGAATGTGTTGTTATTCTTCACATACAATATATAGTTACATTGCACCCAGCAATGAAGAGAAACACCCTCTGCCATGAAATACTGACAGTCTTCATTTAAAGATTTCTTTTCCAGGTGTTAGATCTCTGAGCCGCATCACAAATAACATCTCACAAATCCATTCTCTCAGTCAAACAGGATATCTTCACAAGGGACAAATATATTATTATTTTTTAAAATCTCATTTGTGTAGAATATTATGCATGTCTACAAAATAAAACACAACCTAAGGAAAATTGCACTGAACAACACTACGAGTTTCAGTCAATCGAGTCCACTGACAGTACAGCTGACTGTTTCCATTGTGGAGAGAAGAGATGAGATCATCCACTTTTGCAGGGTTTTCATTTTTGTTGTTGATTTTTCTGTGCAGTGGAGCAGGGCTGAAGAGGAGAGACACTGAAAGCGAGGAGCTTCTGACACGTCGACATTGTGGCGAGGAATGCAGAAAAACCAGCCCACCTCCACCCCACGTCCCACTCCTCCCATGCCTCCCACCTGGCCCCTCTCAGTGTGTCCTCAGGAGCTTTGCATCCAGGCTTGGCTACAGAGCCTGGATGTCTTGGCTGATGGATATGAAGCAGAGGTGTCCGTGATGATGGAGAGATTTAGGAAAACTAGAAAGCATTCCGGCTTTTAACACACACAGCATCCACCCACCCCCACCCCCCACCTGTCGTACAACTCTCTCTCTTCCTGTCTCACTGTCTCTGTGTCTGTCTGTTCTCAGTCTGCGTAGAGGATGAAGCCAGAGAAGGTGCTGTACTTGTTGTTGTTTCCTCCATGGGCTTTGCCTCCATCCAGTTTGATGTAAACCTCGTCCCCTGCATCCAGATGGAGGATGACGCTGTTAGAGGCATAGTCATAGTTCTGGTCAGCGTCTTGGGCAATGGCGCTGGCACGAACCTGGAAGAAAAGGGACAGACGAACATGTAGGAGAAAGAGTAGGTTTGTAGCTACAGTACATGTTAGGACCTTTAACTTAATTAATTTTGGAAATTACCCAAATAGGTTGTCATTCTCTCATATTACATCGGTAGCCAGATAATTGTATTAATTCTTATCAATCTACATTCCTGTAAATCAGAACTAAGTATATAAAATCTGTACCTCCACCAAAGCTGCATAATCCAATACATAATTTGTTATTTTAATAATAGAATATGTTCCTTTTTTAAGAGCAAGATCTGCAAAAAAAAAATACACATAATGGTAGGAAATTATTAGAAGTATGAGCCAGAGTTTTTGTTTTATTGTTAAAGAAAGTGCACTTTATGAGACAATAGTGAATATATTCCAAACCCCCCTTTCTTTCTTACAATGATAAAACATCCTTTAGTAAATTCCTTGAGCCATGCCTAGATTCTGATCTCCACCAAAAACTAGTAACCGTCCTTCTTCCATGGCCTGTAGTTCACCAAATTGTTATTGACATCTTCTGCTATTTAACTAGCGGGCAAACAAAGGAGACCAAAATCATAAATACTAAACTTTAAAACATCATTACTTCTTGGCAGAGGTAATTAAAGGGCAACCATAGATGACCTAACTGTCACTAATCTGAAAAATCACTGTGTTGCTGCAACACGAGAGAACAGCAAAGTTTGTTGCACAGAAGGAGAATGTATCAGTTAGGGAATACCAAAATAAAAACTCTGTTTATGGTATATTTTTTGAAATACTAAATCTCACTAGTTGCTTTATTTTGAAGTTAAATGCATAACGGGGCACAACAATGGCACAAATAGCTCTTTGTATGGATATTAAACCTGCAGGACCAACCAGACAGTCAGCCAAACCTTAGGTCTTTCTGTCAAGTAGATTTATGGTTTCAATCAAGCCAGTGGTCTTCCACAGAAGACCTAACATTCTACCTTGGAACAAAAGGTCCTCAGAAAGAGAGTCTCAGAAACTCAACAACAGGGCTGACTCTGAGGGTTTTTCATCATGGAGGAAATTATTGAGTAGCCTAATACAATAAAAAAAACATCAAGGACACCCACTGAATAGAAGCAGAAATATTTGATAACTCATAGCGAGAAGTGACAAGAAAGCTTTCACTTTTATATCATTCAAACTCCTTCCACAAATTTTTATCTCTATGTTTGCTTTTGTCTGACTGTGAGTATGTACATGTGTATTCTGCCAGTAGGGCTATAGCAGTATAGCAGTTTCTAAATAACCTGTGCTGGCTAATTAAGACCTCCACCACAAACATGCTCTCTCTCTCCGGGGAGGAAAGTGTAGCTGCAGTGCCAAATGGGCTCTGAAACAATAGCTGTGTTTTCAAGCATGAATGTGAGCGTGTGACAGAGAGAGACTAATTCTGGTTATTATCAGTAGGAATGACTACTACAAAATGCTGTATTTGAAGTTGTAATTTCTGATCCACATAGTTGTTTGTAGCCGTCTCTTTGCCAAATACAATACAAATGAAATCCAAGCAGAGTGAATAGAACATTAGAAGAAATCAGCAGTGACATACAATGAAGGTCATAGAGTGGATGGTGCCAGCATACAGTGTGTGCCTGAGCCAACAGACCCAATTAAATCTGATTCTTAACAACAGTAAAACAAAAACCATAGTCTGTTAAGTATTTGGACAGGGACATACAGTATTTTCATTTTGGCTCTGAATTCCATCACATTAGATTAGATTTTAGTTATAGCATTGCACTTTAACATTGTCTGGCTCACAATGGATAATGCATTCTTCCTCCTTGTCAAAACCTGGCGTCTACATTATCCATAATGCAACTCAAGCACCAAGTGTTCGGTTGGAGATTTGGGTGTGTGAATCAGAGATGAGCAGCAGGTTACAGAAGTATCTCTCTTATTTCCCTCAACTGATGCAATTTATTCAAGTTTGTGGAGCTCTTTCCGGAGCCACAAAAGGTTTTATACAACTTTTTTTCACACATGCATTAGGACTCCCTTACACCTGTAAATACTTTGATGTGTAAAATTGGCGCAATTACCCTTTGGACAATGACTATGAGCTTTAAACTTTAAGCAGGTATTCTCATTCACATCAGGTGAACATAATAGGGCTTTTTAGTTCCTTGCCATTCTTCTCATTGACAGGTCTAAGGAGTGGCAGTCCCGCAATGACAGAATCAGGCGGACATGCTGCTTTATAAATCTGATGCAAAGAATACGTTCGGATCTTTCTGTCTCTGTGCGTACACAATTGAATGAATCCACGCAGAGTTTTATGCATCTGTGGGTCTATCGGTCATAAACTGCAGCTAGTAATGGACTACAAAGGGTTTAGAAGTAAACGTTGAATTGATTTACATTAATGTTAATATGTTAGGTCACCTTAAACTGACCATAAAAAGGGTTATAATTCCTAATCCCAACATGGATGCTAAACTAAAATTGAAAGTTGTCTCTTCAACCAATAAAACTAACTAGTTAAGCAAAAAAACAAAAAATTCGGATGCAAACATTATCCACAGTATTTCTGTGCTATTAAACAGCTACTAAGAAGGAGAACCACATCAGTAATAAGTTGAACTGAATAGAATTAAATGAAAAAAAAACAACAGTATTTTCACTTGAGGTGAAAATGCAAAGCGCTGTATCCTTTAAAGTGGCCACTGGTTAAATAAGCCAATTAGTCGCTTAGTCTGGCCAGTGAAATTGAATCAAAATCAATAGTTTACGTGCATTTGAAGTGTTTTCTTGTGGCTCATTATCGGGTCTCTAAAGTCCATTCTGGCCCATGCCTTGGCTCATTGTTTGTCCACACAGCTTTAAATCGGGGCTTTTCGAGCTGGTGTTGACAAGCTGGCCCAACAGGCGGCATAGAGAATGCCCAATAATTAGTTGGCCTATTTAAGGGCTACACACAACAGGCATATTGACAAATGTGGGGAAAGGCCAGCTACTGACAGAGATCTCCTGCACAGAAAGCATCACTATTGCCAAACCTAACAGGGGGCCTGGAACAGCTTCTCTTGACATTCGGATATGTTAAAATCATAAATTATTATTTTGGGCAATTTAAATCAGTGATTTAAAGAAGAAGAAGAAGATTTATTTAAAGAATCATTAGTTGGTTGGTTTGTTTGTTAGTTTTTGTCCATTTTGGTGACTATTATTGTAGTGTTTCTACTTGTAGTGTTACACTTCTTGGATGTGGCAGATTTTATTAATGAAGCTAGATTTTATTAAGTATGTTCTTCGAATTGTCTTTTCTGCCACAACAGCAATCACTGTTGATTCTAAACTGTCAACTCACCGTCTGTTGATTTTCAACAACCAGTCATAAAAGTGTGCAGAGGCGTGCAAAGTCTTATTAAGATAGCAAATGTAAGGCTTTCATTAACTGGATATTCAGTAGTTTGAATTTATATTACAGTACATGATAGGAGAAAGGAAACAGTGATATTTAGCAAATTTAGCAATTTTCAAGCTGTAAATGGTACTAGAGTTAAACGCTTCTGATAGACACCAGAAACTTTCATAAGAGACCCATCTAAGAGTTTTATGTGCTTCTCTCCCTAGCAACACAATGAGAAACAGACAGACTTACAGTAGTGGCTAGAGTGAGTCTTTCCGGCACCACTACAGTAAGTTGCCATTTCTGTGACACCTTATTTTGAACTTGGCCAAACCAGTCTGCATGCTACAATTTGTTGGTAACATTGCATTTCAGAAAATCTCTTCACTTCAGCATTTCCTCGTAGATAGGACAGAACATTTCTGATAATATCCCCCAGAAATCCGCATTGGACGTGCTGCTACAATTTTTCTCTGTGTTGCTTGGTGAAAGAACATCATTTATATATAGCTTTGGAAATATTGTTGCTATACATTCATGCCAATAAAGCTAATTTGAATTTGAATTTGAACAACTACTCTTACGTATGACCAGTATTAACACAGATTCTCTACGATTCAATATTATATACAGGGAGCCAGCATCAACTGCAAAATAAATCTCAGAGCCTTCAACGTAATGCAAATGTTTAATTACTAACAGCATACTGTGCTTTCTTGTGCTTTTAGGCACAGGTCAATGTTCTGCACGATTTCTCGTCAAGTCCTCTTGCAGCCCATCAGACACTCAATTCTCTGAATGGCTGTCAAAAAGAGAACTATTCTTTGCATTGCCTTGAACTATGGAGCAGAAATGAGCAAGGTTGAGCGTTCTGCAGCTTTTTTTTATAGCATTATTGTCAATGAATAAAAAAACAAGTACTCAATGTTGTAATGGAGGGTGAAATGAATAAGAGAAATGATATACAAAACGTTTTCAGTGTGCCAGATGAATTTAAAAGAACTTCAAGCCTGGGCACAACATAATATTTGTTCAGAGAATAGTTTATTTACAGCAACATTTCAGTCCTAATGACCTTCCTCAGGCTGCATAGAGACCAAGAAAAACTTTACTGTATTTTCCAAATCACCATGTTTATGTTTAAAAAAGGGGATGGTTTGGAGGGCGTCCCAAACTTTTTAACAACATAGCATGGACAGTGAAAGTCACGTTGGTATGAAATGTGCAAATGCTGTAAAGGCTAATCTGGTTAATGAAATTCTGAGGAGAGGTTTTAAGATGCAGGAGTAATATACTGTATGGAATATTGTACATTTTTTTATTGTTTATCCTCCTGATTAAATCTAGCCCGGCTCATATCGACGTGCAAACAAAGCCTCCTGTTCTGATTCTGGGGTGCCGGCGTCCAGTACATATTAATATGATATGATGTGCCCTGAGCGTGCAAAGTCAACACCATCCTATTAGAGGGTTACCGCTTTGGGTTGGTGGTGGAGCGAGTGAGGATGGCTCAGGAGGATTTGTCAGCTGGGATTTTAATGAAACTTTATCAAAATATTTGCTTTTCAGGTGTTCACCCAGAACCTGGGAACCTCTGGCAGTGTCACAGATTTGTAAT